TGGATTGTGCTCCCAGTTCCTGTTACTGCCACCACAGCCACCTGCACTGTCCCCTCTTCACCTGCACCTGACTGTTGCTTCCTGCACTTGTTTTCACGTAGGCAGTGTGGCTGTGCTGCTCTGCAGGCCCCCTGCCCTGCCAGGTGCTGCCTCTCTCACTGCTTCCCCTGTGGAGATGCACTGATCTCTTCTTTCCTGTGGCCTCACCCCGTAGCTCCTTGTGTCTGCCTTCTCCCTGCACTGGCTGTGTGTTCAGCACAGGGGAACTTTTAACAAATGAATATATTTATACAAAGACCAGATTGACCTCTTTGTTTGTAACTGTTCATTAGTGCATTTCTATTTCACTTCCACAGAACTCAATTGTACTGAAGGTTGTGTTGCTGTGGAGAGTGTGAGAGTAGTCATTAAAAGCTTAACACAGCTTTTTCTGAAGTTGTTGTTTGAGTGATCTCAGTGTTCATTGTATTTCATACACAGGCAGTTTACCGTGCTGCTGAACCCTGGAGTGCATCAGCAGAGGCTTTTTTATGAGGGGAGTGCTCTTGTGCATGTGATGTGTACAGATAGGTAGACAGTCAATCTTATTGAAGCTGTTACTGGGACATACTCTTGGCAATGAGCCACTGATAGCTTGAGGCATACTGGCCTATTTTCAATTTCATATTGATGTTAGTAAGCAATTAAAAATAAACAATTTGCATTTTTGAAAAATACATAAACAGCATCCTATGATATTATGAATTGCTTATTTTATACAACAAATAGCCTATTTTATGATGCCTTTTTCCACTGAGAAAACTTACTTTTCTACAAAATGCTGCCTTTTCTCACTGAATCAGATCTTTTATTTTATCTTAAGCCTAACATTTCTTTTTTGATGAATTAATCTTGTTTTGAAAATAGCTTATGGGAGATTTGAAAATATCAAGTATTGGGTGTTCTAGTACCCATTTCTGGTTGGTTTAGTGCCCTGTTAAAGATTGTCTTTTCTAATGTGAAATATTCTGGGGGTTATATTAATACACAAATATGAGTTAGAAGGGATTTTGTCACACATTCCTTGTGATAGCTTTCCAGACTTGTGACTGGAGATCTCATCAAGTAAAAGTACTTGAGCTCATGTGCATAGTGAAGCCCACTGGAGAGGAATGACTTGACCTGATTGCTCCAGATTTTAAAATGTTACATAAAACTCCTCATGTGAACACTGCATGAATTTCTGTATTTATTTTACTACTGCAGAAAAGATGGTTTTGTTCTTTTGAAGTAATTTCACATACGATCTCGTGCAAAGTTGCTATTTTTGTTGCATCTGGTGCTGAAAATTCTGAGCAGCTTTCCTGGTGAATTTAGAGCCACACATGTAGAGCTCTGGATTTTTTTCCAGCTCACTGCTGAATTCTCTTAATTGTGCACAGTCTAAAGTTACAGCCTTTGTTTGGCTTTAAATTCAGTTTAAAAATCACATTTTTATATATGTTTGCCAGTTTGGTTCACAACTTTATAATAGATGTAGCTGTGTTTAATTTTAAATTCATGTGAAGCTTATATATCTGCCAGTTAAACCAAATTACCTAACTGCCTTTATACATACCTTCTCATTATTTCACTGCTATTATTTCTCACAGTATTTTTGTGAATCACTTTTTCTTTTCTGTGACTTTCTGTTGGCCAGGAGTATGTATCTAGTAATCATCATCATAAAGGCACCCTCATTCCTCACAGGATTTTATACCTAATAATTGGAGTTCTGTGCAGAATCGTGGGGTTGGTCACCTCCCTCCCTGGAGGCACTTGCAGCTTAAAAAGAAGCAGTGATATTTTAAAAGCTATATATATGGAAATCAGGCAGAGCACAGGGTGATGGATAGCTGTATTCTTGTTTAAATAAGTATCTCTGCTTTCACTGAAGTGACTTTAGCCTTCATGTGCAGTTTTCTCCAATAAAATGTCTTTCTCTGGAGTTTTCACTGTTGTAATGGAATTAAATAGTTCTTTTGTGATAAAGTTCACCCAGTGTTGAGACAGTTACCCTTCTAAAACCCGGTTAGTGACTGTTGTGTAGAAGGGAAAGTCAGTTCATTCAGTCCAATACCATTTTTTAAAGCAGAGATGATAAAATCCATGTGGCACTCCCAGGTTTGTACTGTGCTCCTCCCCTGAGTGTCTGGGTAATTTTTGCCAATACTTGATGGGGTGTATTCTCCTCCTTGAGACATTTGAGGCTGTTTTTCAGTCCAGCTGTACAATGAAATGAAAGTTTCATGTCAGTCAGTCTTCCTGCCCAACCTCAGGTATTGTGTGTTTGCAATCAAGCGATTGAGGCAAAGTTCTGACAAGGCACAGGAGGCTGGAAATGTGTGCTAAGAGTTGTGGTTTGATCCAGCACTGAAATCATCAGTGTGGGGTGGGGTTCTCCGCATTCTGCAGCTCGGGCAGGAAAGTATTGCAGCCCCCATGGCAGTGTGAAATAAAGGGAGGTGTTTCTGCTGCAGAGAGGGTAATTAAAGAGTTTAGAATTCTCTTTAGTTTATATACAAGTCAGAAAACATTTGCACTGGTGCTGAATACTGTGTCGTTTCAAAGGGGAGCATGTGGCAACCGATTTCTTGCTTCTGCTTTTCCTGCACCTGCAAAATCAAGTGGCAGTATTTCTCTAAAACTGTGTATTTACATTTACTTAATTTTATATGTAAATTATATAAGAGAGGCACTTTGTGAAATCTTACTCGTGTTTTGGGAGCTGAGAAAGACCATGTTTGTGTATGGGCTGCAGCCTGTGCATGTTGGAATTGCAGAATACTTTCAGAAGGCTCTTCAGGGCTGGAGTTTTACCGGGGATTTGTGTTGACTGGAACATGAGACACTTGTTCCAAATGCTGAACTGGTTGCTGCCCGTGCAAGGGGAGGCAGAGGAGTTGTGCTCCTGACTGGGCTGTGCAGCTGAGCTGTGCCAGTTGGGTAAATCCTCTGATTCCCCTTTCTTCTGTTTCCTTAGTCCTGGCTGGGGAGGAAGCACCAAGAGCAGGCACTGCCAGGAAAGATGGCAAAGTGTGGTTGGATTAAAAAACAAACCTGTGTGGCGTGTGGGGTTTTCAAAGGTTTATTGCCTAATTGTATCTTAGCATTTTTGTAGTAATCAGTCTGCATGATTAAGATTTCTAACTGCTTCTAATCAAACACAAAAGCTATTCCTGTCTCTTCAAAAGGATTTCTCAATGCCTTTTATATTGTTTCTTAACTTTCTATCAAGTGAACAGAGAAGAAAATCCTATTTATTGGTGCAATTTAAATGTAATTGTTGGTTCTGAAAGAAACTTTTAATTTAAAATGTTCTGCTCTGTTTTCTGGATACATAATGTCTATTTAATAGAGAAGGCTGCCAAGCTTTGACTTCTTTTGGCAGCCACGAATCTAATTAGCATTTCTGTTGCATAGAACCTGATTCATTTTAAATTTTCAAATGCAATGTAGAAATTCTCTTTATTTAAGAGTTTTGTCTGACTCAGCAGCAATTGCAGTCTTTTTGCTCATAGTAGAGGGCTGCTATACCAACACCTGATTGAGAAATACAGATAGCTGGGATTCTCTCACCAGCTTGTGGGCTTATCACAAATGCTGCCCTTATGCTTCTTTATTTTCTTTTGTAATGAAGCTTAAACTATAAAAAGCTAACAAATGAGATTAAACCAGTGATTTGTTTCTGCTTAGCACATCCAGCCCTTTTTTGATCTAAAAGCAAATGCTTTTGGTTTAATTTGGTGTAAAAGCAAATGCTGTTCCCTAAGAGAGCACATAGCTCAAAGAAGCTTGAGGAGATGCATGGAGATGTTATTGTTTGTAACTTCAGTGGAATTGTCTTCCCACTCAGCTGTATGGAAGGCAGGCAGGATAATTAATATGTGAGTGCATTATGTGTTAAGCTGCTTACACAGAGGAGTTAATGGGCAAGAGGTTTTTGTATGGTCACCCTATCATGCACAGGGGAGTAATGCACTTTGCTTCCACTGGAGCACATCATCAGGGAAACTTCAGCCCAGCAAAATGATGATTCTCATGCTCTTGTAGGAATACTCTAAAATACTGTTGTGGAACAGGTTGGCATTCTTTCAGTTCATTTGCCACCACATTGATAAAATAGATTTTGGGGTTTTTAACCCTAAGGGTATGGGAAGAGTCCATTGAAGTCCAGTCTCAGTGTTGTCCTGTAAACTTGTAGCTGTCTGAATTCTGAGCTCAGTCTGACTTACCTGGGTTTGATACCAGTAGAGCTGCAGGAGGCCCTTTATTCTCTTGATGGTAAATGGTTTTGTTGGTCATACAACCTATTAAATAAATGTTCATGTTTTGGTTTTAAAATTCAAGTAATGAGAGACAGATTTAGTAAAAGCTGCAAGTTCTGCTGCACTTTAGAAATGCGTGTGGTTTGTTTAAATTTCTGTAAGTAACCATTCTGCTAACCCTAATATGATTTAGTTCACTTCCCAGTAGTATTAGACTTCCTGTATTTATAAGGAAAAGCTGGCTAATGGAATGCCAGATGTGAATGTGATGTATAGCTGATGCTAGTTCTGGCTTTTCTCTTTTTTCTCTTGCAAGGTAGAACTTCTAAAATTAAGTGTATTCAGCTATTCTGACAGATTGAAATGCCATCTATTTCTGAGAGTGGTTCTGTTCACTAGAGCTATGGTAATGTTTGTGATGTTAAGCATGTCAGTTATGTAAAAGTCTGCAAGACTCTAGGGTTAATCTTCGTTTTCTTTTGTTTTGTTCTAGTTCTGTCATGTAACTAGACTCAGAGAACTGTTGTCACTATCAGAACATTCCAGTCCGTGGAAATATCCTGTAATGACTTCTTTGCAAAGTGCAATTCTAAAATCCAGAAGTCTTGAGAACAAAGTCTTTTGTGTCTCTGTATTCCAGCTTAGCTGAAAAATTGTTGTGTGAACTATGAGTACAGTTTAACAACACCTTCCTTCCTTTTTTGTTTTTCGAAGGATTTGGTAAATATTGAGATGTTTTTGACTGCTAAAGAAGTGGAAGAGTCATTGGAAAGACAAGAGACTATGACTTGTTTGGCTTGGTGTCATGACAACAAATCCAGACTCAGAAAAATGAAGGTATGCAAATGTAACATGTTCACATTTTGCTTCGTCTGTTCTGAACTACTTGGATGCTGGATGTGGTCAGTATGGTTTAAATTACAGGCCTTGTATAAAAGTAAGGACAGTAAGTATAAAATGTTCATAAAAGGCATAGGTAGTTGGAGCTAAACAGTCCCACAAATGTCAGACCTGGAAGTGAGTGATAGGTCATCTTCTGGATTCAGTGTTGTCTCAACAAATGATGCTCAAATCAAATAAAATAAAATACTCAGTTGGGTTTAGTGTAATCTGAAAACAAAAGGAGAAATATGTAGTGTCTTAATGCATGTAGACTTAAATTAATAACTCTGTGCATCCTGCTGAGACTTTAACTCTTAAAAATGTGTCTTAGGAATGAAATTAGGTGAAATTCATTCATAATCTCTTCTCTCAGGTTTAAAATTTCTGAGAGAAATTTGATGCAGATTTTAGTCTTAGTAATTTTTAACTCTTGAATATAAGAAGACAGAACTTGAGAGTAAAGAATTCACTTGCTGTGAGAAAATACAACAACAAAAGCTGGAATCTAATCAAGCAATAAACACAAAAGTCTTCCTCAAGCCATCGAGTACCATGAGCTGAACTTGCTGTGCACTTGTTGCTGTGCAGTCCACTTAAATTTCCTTGTCTCTTAAATTATGCATTTTAAAACATGCTGGAATCTTTTATAGGGCTTGCAGAAATCTGTTTTTAACTGATATTGACCAAAATCCCTGCCTCCCTTTAAGAAGTTTTTATCTTATTTTTTAAACTAAGTGCTTTCTTTAACCAAAAACGTTTGAGTGCCCTTAACAATAAGCAAGGAGTGACATTGACACTCAGGGGTGCCAAACTGAGCTGAAGATGGGATGCAAAAGTCAATGGGGCAGTGATTGTTCTAGAGAAAATGGAGGTCTTGTTATGGAAACCATTAAAGGACAACCAGAATTGGTATGTAAACCACATTGTATAATTATACTGCTAAAAAAAACCCCCCTTGTGTAATCCTAAATGTTAAGTAATACAAGAAATATAATCTGAATGTCTTGCTTTTTCATCACCAATTTTCAACAAGCAGTAAATAAGGAAGACTCTTCCCCATCCTCTTTTTGAAAAACAAAGTACAACAAAAATCTATTTCTGCAAGCCTTATGCTTTTTTAATTTTCTTTTTTTTTTCTTTTTGAATCAAACCAAAACCAGAGCTAAGGCTGTGAGAGGTTGGAAGAAGAGAAATTACTATGCTTCTTTTTGAAACACAAACATTTCTGCTGCTTCTAGTTGCTTAGCTACTCATCACAGTTGATGTTCCAAAGTCCCAGCCACCAGGTAGCTGAATGGAAGCCTTATCTGAAATCTGAACTGTTTGGTGGCCTGGGAAAGCAGTCGTGTGCTCTGTACAGATGTGAGCTATCTGAAATGCTGGGAGGAGCTGCTGTGGGACTGTCTGGAGGGGCACAGCTGGAATGTGCAGCATCTG